ACTGATCACTATCAGTTTGTTAATTTAAACGGTGAATCAGCTGCCCTCGCAAAAGTAAAGTATGGTGTTCCACAAGGCTCTGTTTTAGGACCTGTATTAATCACACTATACATGCTACCACTGGGCACCATTATCAGTAAACACGGCATAAATTTCCACTGCTATGCCGATGACACTCAGTTATATTTAGCAAGCGAACCGGAGAGGTTCTACTTCTTGGTCCAAAAGCAGCTAGAAACAGACTGTCTAATTTAACACTTAAACTTAACAATTTCTCAGTTGCATCAAGCTCACCTGTAAAAAATCATTATAGACCCTGATCTGTCCTTCGACGCACATATAACTAATATTACTAGAACAGCCTTCATGCATCTCTGCAATATTACTAAATTGAGAAATGCATTGTCTCTACAGGATGCAGAAAAGTTAGTTCATGCATTTATTACTTCAAGGCTGGATTACTGTAATGCCCTGCTGGCTGGATGTCCGAGGAAAAGCCTTAACAAGCTTTAGCTAGTCCAGAATGCTGCAGCCAGAGTTCTTACTGGAACCAGAAAATTTCACCATATCAGCCCAGTTTTATCAGCCTTACACTGGTTACCAGTTAAATTTCTCATTGATTATAAAATTCTCTTACTGACTTATAAAGCACTAAACGGACTCGCCCCTCAGTACCTGAGTGAACTTCTCTCTCACTATGAACCATCACGCCTACTTAGATCACAAGGTGCTGGCTTACTATTAGTACCTAGAATTAATAAGGTTACGTCAGGGGGGAGAGCCTTCTCATACAAAGCCCCCCAGCTTTGGAATAGTCTTCCTGTTAATGTTCGGGACTCAGACACAGCCTCAGTCTTTAAGTCTAGGCTAAAAACTAGTAGTCAAGCCTTTAGTAATTAGTTTTCCCTGTCGGTTCTATACTTGCCAGAGTCTCTGCTGCTCTGCTAACACTGTAATCTGTGATCAGTCACCCATTACAGAACTGACTCTCTGTGTGTTTTTCCTTTCTTTCTTTCCTTTGCCGAGTTGAACAGCTGCCCATCCTGTGCATCTGATGCTGCTGCCTCTTCTGCCTTGATCAGGTGCCACTGCTGCCAGCCCTCTGGACCGGCTTGACCACCATTGAGCTTCATGCTGTACAACGCCGTGCAACCTCACCCTCACATCCTGACCCCACTGATGCTGCTGCTGCATAAACTACACTAATCAAATTAATCATTTGCTCCACCTGTTTTCCCCGTTTTTGTACTAATAATGATTACTATCCGGATGGGTTCCCCCTCTGAGTCTTGATTCCTCTCAAGGTTTCTTCCTGTTTCATACAGAGTTTTTCCTTGCCACTGTCGCCACTGGCATGCTCATGGGGGCTTGGACCCGGATTTCTTTCTGTAATGCTGATTTTTTCTTTTTGTAAAGCTGCTTTGTGACAACACCTGTTGTAAAAAGCGCTATATAAATAAACTTTGCTTGCTTGTGACAGGCATTCAAGAGGAAGCAGATAATCCATATTTCTGCCCTCAGATTCTCGATGTACTTTTTGAAAACTACATGTGCATTTACCCATTATGGAGTGGGATTTTACTGGGGAACCTGGCAAGATATGAATCAGACCAAACTGTAAGCAACCTCAAACAGGAAATTGAACGTAGAGACACAAACTGCCACGTTGAAAAATGGTTTGACATTGTGAAGATCCTCTTAAAACAAAAGTCTCTTAGGCCAGCAGAATTTGTTCGAAAGATGCATACTTTTATGCAGGGAAGATACAAACAACATATTTTACAGCTGGACTTCGCAGAAAAACTGCTTGTGAAACCTCTAAAAGCTTTGCAGAAGAATCTAGAGCAATCACAAGAGGAATGGGCCAAAAAACAGGAAAAAGACCCTAAAGAATTTATGTCAAAGTACTTCAGTGTGCCAAAAGACATCCCTGAACCAAAAGCATTAAAAAGAAAAAGGAAAAATGACAGTAAACATGGAATTCCATCAGTGGAACTGAAGAAGATGCCCAATGAAAAAAAAGAAACCATGTCAGTGAAAGACACAGAAGAAGATACAGCAAAGGTATAGTGTCACCATCTGAAATACTTTGAAACACTAAATATGTTTTATCTGCATATATATATATATATATATAGATAGATATATATATATATATATATAAAATGTGGGCTTTTATTATTCATTGTAAGGTGTGGAGTTTATGCAACATGCAGGCGAGTGAACTTGTTCTTGTCACAATACACCCTTCGGCCCTCTGAATTCCTGTCTCTAAGGCCTCACAGCTGGCTCATTGGAGAGGTTTGTTATTACACTCTTTCATATTGTGCTTTCTTTGTCATCATCGCAAACACACTTTATTGAGGTCACATGTTAATAATATCTCTAATTATAACAGCTGCAACTTTATTTTGACATTAAAAACTTTTTTTATTTCAAAGAATACTACATCAAGGCCATTATGCAATCCAAGATGGCGCCGCAGACTGGTTGTGAGCTCCGTCGTGTTTTGTTTGTTTTTGTTTGTTTGTACTGTTACTTGTGAAACAGTCTCACTCACATACAGCGCAGAACATCTGCTGAACATCAGGCAGTCCATGCCACAAGGCATTGCTCCTGACTTTTCATTTTCTGACTGTTTTTTTAGCAATTTAATGAGCGGAGCGGCTGCTCTCTACAGCAGGCGGAGACGCAGGCGGACACGCAGACGCGGGAAGCACACTGGAGCGCTGGTTAAACTCTCAGGCAAGAAGAAAGGTGGCGGAATCTGCTTTTATATCAACCAAGGCTGGTGTACAGATGTCACAGTATTAACGAAAACATGCAGCCCTAACCTGGAATCACTTTTTATAAACTGTAAACCATTTTATTGTCCGAGGGAGTTTTCATCTGTCGTTCTAGCGGGAGTCTATATTCCACCCCAGGCGTGCGTGCACGAGGCGCTGTGCGCTCTTGCAGACCAGATCACCAGCATAGAGCTCAAACACACAGACTCTGTTTTTATCATTTTAGGGAACTTCAACGGAGCGCAACTCACTGGTGAACTGCCTAAATGCAGACAGCATGTTACCTGCCCCACCAGGGAGAGTAATATTTTAGTCCACAGCTCCACACACCCATTCAGCACTGATTCACACCCTCCTGTCATTCAGCCATCTATTCAGCCTGCCCTGAAGATCTGCGAGAAGGATGTGCATCGACTCTTCAGGAAGCAAAAAGTGAGGAAAGCACCAGGAGCAGATGGTGTATCACCCTCCTGTCTGAGGGCCTGCACCGACCAGCTCACACCTGTCTTCACAATGATCTACAACAAATCACTGGAGCTGTGTGTTGTACCTTCCTGCTTCAAACGCTCCACCATTATACCAGTTCCCAAGAAAGCAACCATCACAGGATTGAATGACTACAGACCCGTTGCTTTGACCTCTGTAGTCATGAAATCCTTTGAGAGACTAGTGCTCACCATCTGAAGAACATCACAGATCCTCTGCTAGACCCCCTGCAGTTTGCATACCGGACGACGCAGTGAACATGGGACTCCATCTTATTCTCCAACAACTTGAACACCCAGGAACTTATGCAAGAATTCTATTCTTGGACTTCAGCTCAGCTTTTAATACAATCATCCCAGGACAGCTACACAACAAACTGCTCCAACTCAGCGTGCCAACCCCCACCTGCCAGTGTATCACCAACTTCCTCACTGGCAGAGAGCAGCAGGTGAGGTTGAGAAAGTTCACCTCAAACACCCAGATCATCAGTAGGGGCACTCCACAGGGTTGTGTACTCTCACCATTGCTCTTCTCACTGTACACGAATGACTGTACCTCCACAGACCCCTCAGTCAAAATCTTCAAGTATGCAGATGACACTACAGTCATTGGTCTCATCCGAGATGGTGACGAGTCTGCTTACAGACAGGTGGTTGATCAGGTGGTCCTTTGGAGCAGCCATAACAACCTGGTGCTGAATACAGCAAAAACAGTGGAGATGACAGTGGACTTCAGGAAGAGCCCTCCAACCCTGCCAGCACTCACCATCCTGGACAGAACTGTGATGGCAGTGGAGTCCTGCAAGTTCCTGGGCACGACAATCACCAGGGACCTGAAGTGGGACAGTAACATCAGCTCCATCATCAAGAGAGCCCAGAAGGATGTACTTCCTGCGTCAGGAGCTGATGGTGTGGTTCTACACAGCCATCATAGAGTCCATCACCACCATGTCCATCACAGTGTGGGGTAGCTCAGCCACCAAGCATGACCTCCACAGACTGCAGCGCATCCTCAGGTCTGCAGAGAGGATAATTGGGGTTAAGTTGCCCTCATTGCTGGAACTGCATGCCTCCAGAACCAGGAAGTGTGCAGAGAAGATCTCTACTGACTCGCCACACCCCGGACACCACCTGTTCCAGCTTCTTCCCTCAGGTCGGCGCTTCAGCCAGATGAGGATCAGGACATCCAGGCTACAGAGAAGTTTCTTCCCACAAGCCATTTCTGTCTTGAACAATTAATTATTACGCATTAAAATATTCCAGCTTCTAAACTGCACTTCTAAATATATTGGTATATATTATCACACTCAACAGTCCATCCTCTGAAACCACCGTCACAGACCAGTGTTTATTCTAGCACCTCACTTACCAGCCTTATTACCCCACTTATCTGACTGTTCCTCACTGATCCTTTTCTTTGCCACTATAGACCCTTTAACTGCTGCTGCACTCAGCACCTTAACTTAAGACTCATACTTTGCACATTGTAAGGTTAACAGGTATGACTCTGTGTGTATGTGTGTGCGTGTGTATGAATGAGTGATGGTAGGAATGCTTGTTTTATTTTATTTTATGTTATTTAATTTAATTTTAATTTTATTTTATTCACTACATGTAAATGTCTGTCTGATACTGTGCACTGTGAGCTCCTGTAACAAAAACCAAATTCTTTTTATGGGTAAGCATACCCGGCCAGAAAAGCTTGATTCTGATTCTGATTCTGATTACAGAAGACAAAGGTCAAGGAAGCACAATTTTTAACCTTAATCACTACACCACCAGCGTTATTTTGACTGGCAGTTGTGAACAGGTTGCCCAGCACAGTCTACAAAAAGTGAGTACAGCATTAAATATGCAAAGCTAAGAATATTGTTTTAAATAGTAAGTACACTTAAAAAAAATTGGGTTTGTTATTTCTTCTTCTTCTTCTTTTAGCTCATGATCTTAGCATTCTTGTTCCTTCAGTGGTTCATCAAATGGTTCTTTGAATAGTTAAGCATTCTTAGGTTTCTCAAAGGTTCTTCTTGGAAGCCTTTGTAATGCACAAACACACACACGCATCTTCTAAGCGGCGTATCCTTCTGGGTCGTGGGGGGGACCTGGAGTGCCTTTGTAATACGGAAAGTTCTATATAGAATGTTTAATGGTTACCCCAGAGAAACACACAAAAATTTATTTTGCTAAGATTGTACCACCTGCTTTTAAACAATAGTTATTTAAAAAATGTAGTTCTTAAAAAATAACACACAGCAATAACTTGTTATGCTTATGTAAACAGCTTTGCTAAGCCAACTCAGCATTTGTTACTTTTCTAAATAGCATAACATTGCTGTTACATTTCTTTCATAAATTGCATTAATTTAACCATTTTTCTGTAATTTAAACTTAACAGGTGCACTTTGATGAGTATAATGCCATCATTGGATTTTTTAACAAAGGTGCACACTGGAAACTTCTGGTAAGTAGTTTGCAAAGTATTTTCAAAAGTAACAGTTCCTCAGTCTATACAAAATTCCTGCAATAACACTACATTGATGCTTTTTTTCAAACAGTACATCAATGCCATGCATAAGGCAATTTTTGTTCTTGACCCTCTGGGCCATGATGAGCTCAAGGACTCTGCAGAGGCAGGTCAAAGATTCAGGTAAAATGCTTATGAGACTGTTATTTATAGTAGCCTTATATAATAGACCTTTACATATTGGTTACTTATTTGTAAATTGAATGCTTGAAGTTGTCTTGTGCGCTAGATGTATAAATTAATTTAACATGATACTACTACTACTATTACTACTACTACTACTACTAATAATAATAATAATAATAATAATAAAGTATCCACTTTGAAAGTGTTTTAAAAATTATAAAAATATTGTACCACAAAATGTCTGACAGAATGAATAAATAAAATCCCAGTGTTCTCTGGCTGAAGTGATCCACCCCAGTTCAGTTAACTATAAAAAAGTTTGCTAATAAGCAAAAGAATGCCATCACCTATATCAGGGTAACATGGGTGATTTCCTGAATTAGTATTTCAAATGATGGCACTCTATGGAGACTGTTATTGTGCGCATTACATCTCTTCATGAATTTAATTCTAAAGTTAGATAAGGGTGTGCTGCGCCATCCTCTCTATCATTTTCTCTGTGTGCAAGAATATAAAGTTATGAAGCCTCTTACTCATTTATTAAGGGAATATGTGTAACTCCTTAGATTTAATTTAAGAAAACAGTTGATTTCATTTCAATAATGCACATTATTAAACAGAAGTCTGCAAACATAACAACCTTGTTTTGCACTGTAGGGACTACTTTAAGATGCGTCATAACAGGTATGGTAAAGAAGACTGGGTCCATATCAAGTGGACAGCTGGGAAAATTGACCACACAAAGCAGACGGATGGAGCCAGTTGTGGAGTTTTTGTAATGAAGGTAAATTTACATTTATCCTGTGTTTATTATTAAATATACAGAAAGTGGATGGATCAACAAAGTATTTAGTAGTTCCTGGAGGGCCCAATTTCTGCACAGTTTGCTGATTTTCCTACCACAGCACACTTGATTCAACTCATCAGCTAATCACCAGGTTTAGTTGTTGTGCTAGAGTGGGGAAATTGTCAAAAAGTTCTGGACTTTGGCCCCAAGTTGGATACAAGTGAACACAAATAGTTGTGAAATGATGAAAGAGCTGATTAGGTAAAAAAGTGTTGGATAGGACAAGCCTCCAAAAGAGAATCCCAAACTAAGGTCTCCTGTGTGGAGAAAGAGGCATATGCTTCTGTCCAGTAAACTCTGTCTATGGTGCTGTTGTGTTTTTGTGATGCTATTGTGGAAGTGCATGCATTGATCTTTATAATTACATATGCATTAACAACAGTGAGCGGTGACAGGGACAAAAAGTAGAGAAATTGTTGATACGATGATATATGATGGCTAGTGTGACACAAATTAAATCATGTTTTTTTTTCTTAAAACAGATGGCTGAAGACATTGTTTCTCAGTTTCCTGAAATTCCCAAGTCCGTGAAAATGCCACAGAACAATCTGGAATAGCACGACTCAGAGTGCAGATGGCCACATTTATGTTAAAATCAACAGGTAAGTATTTTTTTTACATTCACAAAGTCTTGTGTTGACATAATATTGCTAAACAATGTGCTTTTTGACTTCCGTTAGATTGGCCAATTAAATTCCATACACTATTCAGACAGTAGTACCCACATTTTCCTAAAGAATAGGGTGTTTCATCCTTGATCAGCTGAGCAAGAAAAAAATGCCTCTGGATAGAAACTGTGTGTACTATGCTGCAATTTAACACTATTTTTATTTTTGGCTTGCCAGTTCAACCTAAAAAAATACTTTGAATGAACGATTCTTTCTATCAAAGTTATTTTTGAGTTGAATAAAACTAGTTCAGTTGCTAGTTACCATGGCAAGGCAAGGCAAGTTTATTTATATAGCAACCTTTCATACACTGCTGTCAAAAGTGCTTTACAAATGAGGAAATACAGAATCGTTTAAAAAGTAAAGGAGAGTAGAAATAAAAAAACATGATTAAAACATGATTAAAACAATAGATTTAAATGAGAAAATAATTAAATTAAAAATCAAATAAAAAATTAAATTAGGATAATAAAAGTGCCGTTACAGAGGAAACATGAAATTAGGATAATTATTGGGATAATAAAAGTGCCGTTTACCACATTAAGTAATTTTTTTAGGTTGAACTGAGGAGCCATTTTTTACAGTGTAACAGTGAGTACATTTGTTTTATGCCTCTTTTAAAAAATTGGCATAATTTAAACAGCCTCTCTTGTACCCTACAGATCCAGTGTGACGGTGTGCAAAAGGTGAACCACATCATGTGCATGAGTATAAGCAGCGATGCTTTTTTGCATGCAAGTAACCAATATTGGGAATGTGATCTATGCTGAGTCTGTAAGGTTTTACCGTATGAGCTGTAACATTTATCAGCAAAGTTACTTAACATGGTTGAAGAGTAATACACTACAGAAATAGCATAAAACTGTTGTGCGATTTTAACAACTGTCACATCTGTCATGGAAGATTTAGAAAATATAAACAGGAGTAAGGCATTACTTAGTATTACATTTTTGAAATTGAGGATTTAGATTGCTTTATAGCTGTTTAAGCTATTTTCATCTTTTTTGTTACTTTTTTAGTATGATTGAATCTGTTTAAAGTAACTAATAATAATAATAATAATAATAATAATTATTATTATTATTATTATTATTATTATTATTATTATTATTGTTGTTATTATTATTATTATTATTATTATTGTTAATATAAAAGCTTTTCTGTCCAGTGGGTCCACCTCAAGGGGTAGCATTTATGTTTTTGTATTCCTTTTAATTGTAGTAGTGGCAGAAACCTAGCTATAAATCAGTCAATAAATTACTCAAAATAGTGAAAAAGTAGTCAGTGTTTTCCCTATCACTGCAACATTTTATATAAAAACTTGTAAAAAAAGGAAATTTGTCCAAATGCATATTAGTTTGTCATTATATATATATAGGGCCAAATAACTGTTTTATAGATGAGGCATCAAATGTGCATTAATGGACACTTCTTGTGGATCACTGTAGAGGTGTACAGCTGTGCATTAATCGACACTTCTTGTGCTTCACTGTAGAGGTGTAGAGGTGTACAGCTGTGTATGGTGCAGCAAGGTGTCAGCAATGATGCACAGCCTTTGAATTTTGGATACATTGCTGTAACTACTTTTTATTAATTTTATGTATTTTGAATTTTAATAATATTTCAGCTGCATTATATACATGACTAAAAACAGCTGTGTATGGTGCAGTGAGGTGTCAGCAATGATGCACAGCCTTTGGATTTTGAATATAATGGTGTAACAAATTTTTATTCATTTTTATGTATTTTGAATTTCAATAATATTTCAGCTGCAGTATATACATCACTAAAAACAGCTGTGTATGGTGCAGCAAGGATGTCAGCAATAATGCACAGCCTTTGGATTTTGGACATAATAGTGTAACAAATTTTTTATTAATTCTTATGTATTTTGAATTTCAGTAATATTTCAGCTGCATTATATACAACATTAAAAACAGCTGTGTATGGTGCAGTGAGATGTCAGCCTTTAGCTCTTGGATATAATTGTGTAACTACTTTTTATTAACTTTTATAAATTTTGAATTTCAATGGCGTTCAGCTGTATTACACCCAACACTACAAACAATTGTGTATGGTGCAGCAAGGTTTCAGCAATCATACACAGCTTTCGAATTTTAAATGTACTGCAATAATTACTTTATATTAATATTTATGTATTTTAATCTTCAAAAGCATTTCAGCTGCATTAATTTCAGGGAATGTTGCATTTCGAATCTATTTTAGCTACATTACATCTGCAAGTAAAATCCAAAGTTTGTGTGTCATTACTGAAATGTATCTGCACCCAACACTGCTGATTTAAATGTTGAATGTTTAAATGTTGACTCACTGAGTGTTTGATGGATTTAAAAAATTTTGAGATGCAATTTGGTACACTTAAATAAGATGTTTTCTTTTCTATGTTTAAAATGTTCAAAAGTTGGGAAAGCAGCAATTCAAAGGTAGCAATATTATGACATATATATAAAAAAACATCTTAAAGAGGAGATTTAATCATGATTGCGTATACAAGGAGAATCCATGAAAAGCAGAGTCCTTTATGAGCATGATGGGTCGAGATCCACCACTTTGCCAAAAGTTCCTCAGTAAAAAATCAAATAGTTTAAGAATAATATTACTCAGAGAGCAATTTCAAGGATTTCAGCTATTTCGCTCTCTACAGTGCATAATAACACCAAGAGATTCAGGGAATCTGGAGAAATCGCTGTGTGTAAAGGGCAAGGCTAAAAAACACAACTGAATGCCCATGATCTTCAATATCTCAGACAGAACTGCATTAAAAAAACAGTATGCTCCTTTGATGGATATCACCACATGGGCTCAGGAGTACTTTGACAAACTATTGTCAATAAACACAGTTTCCTGCTGCATCCACAAAGGCAAGTTAAGACTGTACTATGCACAGAGGTCATATGTCAATAGTGTCTAGAAACACTGCTGACTTCTCTGGGCTTGAGCTCTTCTGAAATTGACTGATGCTCAGTGGAACTGTTGTCTGATGAGTCAACCTTTCAGATTGTTAATGGAAATAGTGGATGTTCTGCTGAATATATTTTGGAGCAACATATGCTGCCTTCTATATCTTAGGGACGTATCAAGTACTGTTAAAAGGAAAGGTGATGTAACACAGTGGTAAACATGCACCTGTCCCAACTTTTTCAGAACATGGTGCAAACATTAAATTTGGAATGAGCATATATTTACCAAAAAAAAACAAGAAAACAGTGACGTTCACACAGTAAAACATAAAACATTGTGTTTTTGTACTGTGATACATGATTGTACTCATGTTAATACAGGTTAAACAGATAGTACTAATCACTGCTTTGATTGTATGAGCATTTCACATACTGTCCCTGCTTTGGAATAAAGGCTGCATCGCCCAGTGGGTTTTACTCAGCTTGCTCTGTTGTCACATGACCCAGTTTGACCTTGTGTGATGAGACTGGTGTTCCTGACCTGGTCCACAAAGTACACAAGTATTACTTACTTGAATATTTAGAGAATATTTTTTTTAATAACCACCAATAGTTTGAGATTTATATTTCATTTTTTAAAATTTCCATAGTTAAACTGTGAATGCTTGAAAAATGCAAAGGCCTACTCCATTTGCTTGTTTTAGTTGACAATAAATATTTAAAAACTTCACATAAAATCAAAGATGAGCCACACAATAGACTAATTATAACTACTAACTAACTACTAACTAATAGGCTTTTTCTGTCATATCATGACCTAGTTTGATATTTTAAAGATTTGCTGAGAATACTTGATGTGTTGCATCACTAGCCAGGTTTTCATTCAAGCATTTCGCAAATGTTATGCGTATTTATGAAATGTCGGCAGAAAAAATTATGAATTGTATTTTCATTCACTACAGGTATGTGAAGAAACTTTAGATGACATTGGCTACCATGATTTGGGGCTGCATCAAAACAGACAAGATGGAGGGATTTAACTAAAGAATTTACAGCCATTTGCCATCTTTTTATGATTGTTTGCAGCTCAGAGACACCAGGCAGGATGAGTAATGGCCCACCTAATGAGGGCTGAAATGTCCATGCCACCCCGACAACATCCACCTTGCATCTGGGAACACAATCATGGGAGTTTATTACGCAGAGGCATTTTTCAAATAAGCTTTGGATTTGGCATTTCAGAATGCCAAAAGCAACCTTCGAAAAGCTCCATGCGTGATGATTAGACCATGTGTAGTCCCTTACAGCCTGATACATGACTGTTTATTTTCACATTTTGGCTTTTGTAATATTATAACTTTTCCACTTTGTCCTAACATAAAATCTTTAATTGTAATATTTGTGTGTTTTTCTCATTTTTAGCTTTTCCATTCAGTTCCTTCTGGCGCATTTTCAAAATTTGCAAAAAATTGGTGGATGGAAA